CTTCCCCTGCTTGTGTTCTCTCTCTCGCTGTGTCTCTCTCTGTCAAATAAATAAATAAAATCTTTAAAAAAAAAAACAAAAACAAAAAACCATACATACGTGTGTACACACACACACACACACACACACACACAGTGTTGTGCAACCATTACCACTATCTAATTCCAAAACATTTCCATCTTCCCAAAAGGAGCCCCCGCACCTGTTTGCAGTCACTCACAGTTTTCCTGTCCCTTCATCCCCTGGCAGCTTTAACTACATCTTCTGTCTCTTTGGATTTGCCTGTTTTGGCCATTTCATATAAATGAGATCATACAATTTTTGGCATTTAATGTGTGATTTCTTTGACTTAGCGTGTTTTCAAGGTGCATCTGCTGTAGCGTGTCAGTATTTCATTATTATGGCTGAATTCTAGTCCATTGTGTGGTCATACAACATACTATGTATTTATTTTTTAAAGATTTTATTTATTTATTTGACAGAGAGAGAGAGAGACAGCGAGAGAGGGGACACAAGCAAGGGGAGTGGGAGAGGGAGAAGCAGGTTCCCTGCCAAGCAGGGAGCCCGATGAAGGGCTCGATCCCAGGACCCTGGGATCATGACCTGAGCCGAAGGCAGACGCTTAATGACTGAGCCACCCAGGCGCCCCCATACTATGTATTTAAAAGGACATTTGTATTGTTTCCACTTTTTGCCTATTGTGAATAATGCCACATAGCAAATAATTCACTTTTATTAACAAATAATACCACTAAAATCCTGTGAGGTCCCACAGAGCAGAGCATTCAGTCCCTTATTTAAATGACAGTATAGGGACACCTGGGTGGCTCAGTGGATTAAGCATCTGCCTTCGGCTCAGGTCATGATCTCAAGATCCTGGGATCCAGCCCCACGTCGGGCTCCCTGCTCAACGGGGAGTCTGCTTCTCCCTCTTATTCTCCCTCTGTGCACTCTCGCTCAGTCTCCCTCTTATTCTTTATAAATAAATAAAATCTTAAAAACATAAATGACAGTGTAGATGCATGTGATCTTAAAGCCTGGCCATGCCTGTCACTCTGCTCAGAGCTGTAGCCAGAGGACAAACACAGTGTTCTTGATTTCATGAACTCAGGCACACAAGCCAAGAAGAAACCCAGCTGGTTGGAGAGAATGTAAATCCTAGAATACCTTTTGGTTCATGCCAGGTCGAATTGAGGCATGAGGGGTTGTGATTATGGTACTAGAACCCATGATGCCATTGCGGAGGGCTGTCGGAAATCCTGTGATTTCCTCCTCCTCCCGCCCCCTTCGAAAGGCACAGCCTGTTTCCTTCATGTCCCTCACTGCAAGTGACATTTACCCAGTGAGGGTTCTGGGATGAGTCACTTACGTCCCTTAACCACAGCTACTCCTCCAAACACCTTTATTTGCTCAACTACCCGTAATGATCACCATTGGGTTCACTCTGCAGAGCTAGGTGGGGCAGGTTAATTTTCAGGGTTGCTGTGTGAACAGCAATAGACAGTAGAGCTAGCTGGGCTGGGCATCGCGAACACCCCAAGCTGCTCACCGCATGCCCAGAAGGGTGTGCTGTAATCATCACAGCAGGCTCTCTCCTGGACATCTCTCTGGGATCTTCTGAGCCTGTTCTGAGGGAAGAGGAACAGGTGTCCCCAGTAGACCAAGGCTCAGTGTCCCTGGAGCATGGCCAGCCTCTCTCCGCAGCAATGTGGACCATGGTTGCCCCTGTAGAAGGCACCAAACGCTTTGCTGTGAGTCAACAGAGAACCACAGTTGGAGGTGCTGGGGCCGCTGTGGGTGACATCAAAGGCAGCTCACAGGATGAAAGAGACTGGGATTTTAAAAAGATTTTTATTTTCCCTGAAGAAACTCAGTTGTGACCTAAAGGTAAGAAATCATAAATATAAGAGAAAAAGATGGACAAGAATTGAAAAAGAAAACTAGCATTGTTTGCAGATGATTGTGTTCATAGAAAGTCCAAAGGAATCTATAGATAATTTTTTGGAATTAATAAGTGACTTAGGCAAGATTGCTAAATACAAGATAAGTAAACAAAAATCAGTTATAGTCTTATATGACAGCGACAAAAAATAGAAAACGAAAAAAAATTTAATGATACTATTTACTGCTGTATCAACAAATACAGAATACCTAAGAATAAATCTAAAGAACAGTATGGAAGTCCTCTGGACAGAAAACTATGAAGTATTAGAGAAATTTTGAAAGACCTAAAGTAGTGGAGTTACAGACAATATTGTGAGTTGGAAGACTTTCTTATCACTGCGATGTTAGATTTCCCTAAAATGATACATAGTTCAATGTACGCTCATTTAAAATCCCAGCAGGTTTTTTTTTTTTAAAGATTTTATTCATTTATTTGAGAGACAGACAGAGAGAGAGAACGTGCACAAGTAGGGGGGATGGGCAGAGGGAAAGAGAGAAGCAGGCTCCCCGTTGAGCAGGGAGCCCCATGGGGGGCTTGATCCCAGGACCCCAGGATCATGAACTGAGCCGAAGGCAGACGCT